CCCACAAGAAACCTTCCACAACAAGCCCAACCCTGAGACCCCAGGTCGTCCATTGATTTCTGGTGTGGCAGCGTCATGCTCTCCATAGCAAAACCATCGAAACCCAAGAAACCCAGGGCACTGGAGGCACGCATGGTGTTCCTTGGCTTCGGTTTCACCGTAGGGGAAGCGAGGACAAGGCGGGAGGGAGTGCTACGGGCGAGGGAAGGGAAGAACCACTCACAGAAGGAGAGGGGGAGGAGAGGAGCAACGGGGGGGAGGGATGGCGGAGGGACGAAGAGGGATGGGCGACGAAACCGGGAGGGAGAAGGGACGGGTCGAGGATGCATGGAGTTTTTTGTTTTTCTTATGTGTATATATATATATATATATATATCTTATTTCAGTTTTTAGGGAGACGATGGAGGCGGACAGCAGACATTCGCGCAACTGGCCTCCTCGCCAAACGCGTCGTCGATCAAGCATGCCCCACCCGGCAGGACTGTCCGGTGAATGGGCGAGGGATGCATGGAGGGTGGATGGGGACGGTGAATGGGAGGGATGGTGGGAGGGAACTGGGGGGGGAGGAGGAGGAGGAGGAGGAGGAGGAGGAGGAGGAGGAGGAGGAGGAGGAGGAGGAGGAGAGGAGGAGGAGGAGGAGGAGGAGGAGGAGGAGGAGGGAGGAGGAGGAGGAGGAGGAGGAGGAGGAGGAGGAGGAGGAGGAGGAGGAGGAGGAGGAGGAGGAGGAGGAGGAGGAGGAGGGGAAGGAGGAGGAGCGAGCAGGAGGAGGAGGAGGAGGAGGAATTATAATAATAATACTACTACAACAACAACAACTACGAGTACTACTACTACTACTTACTACTACTACTACTACTACTACTACTACTACTCTATTACTACTACTACTACTACTACTAGTACTCTAGTAGTAGTAGTAGTAGTAGAGTAGTAGTAGTAGTAGTAGTAGTAGTAGTAGTAGTAGTAGTAGTAGTTAGTAGTAGTAGTAGTAGTAGTAGTAGTAGTAGTAGTAGTAGTAGTAGTAGTAGTAGTAGTAGTAGTTAGTACTACTAGTAGTAGTAGTAGTAGTAGTAGTAGTAGTAATGATAATACTATGAATATGAGCATGAATAAGAATACTACTACGACTACTACTAATAATAATAATTATAACACTAATAGTAATAATAATAGTCGTAATAATAATACTAATACTAATAATGATGATGATGATACTAATAATAATAACACTAATAATAATAGTAATACTAATAATAATACTAACAATAATACTACTAATAACAATACTACTACTACTACTACTACTACTACTACTACTACTACTACTACTACTACTACTACTACTACTACTACTACTACTACTACTAGTAATACTAATAATAATAACAATCATAATAATAATGATAATAATAATAATACTAATAATAATAATAATACTAATAATGTCAATAATAATATTATTAATAATAATAATAACAATAACAATCATTATAATTATGATAAACACAAAAAGGATAAGACGAATCATGGTAGAGGGAAGGGGGGCGGAGCAACCGGGCAGGTCGCAGGGGCCGGAGGGAACTGGCCGACGGGGGCAGGGGGAGGAGGGAAGCGGGGCGGAGACACGTGGGGAGAGGGCAAGAAGCCCCCAGGAGGCCCCCAAGAGACCCCCAAGAGGCCACCGGGAAGCCCCAAGAGGCCACCAGGAGCCTCCCAACAGGCCCCCAAGAGGCTCCCAAGAGGCCCACAAACTGTCCCCCAGAGGACCTCGAGAACTCTCCGAAGAGACTCCAAGAAGCATCCCTGAGGACTCTGACCCACGTCAGCATCGTCGTCGTCGTCGTCGTCGATCAGGGTCAGCGGCGCCCGCCGCAAGGCCTCTCCAATAGCCGACGGGGGCAGGGGGAGGAGGGAAGCGGGGCGGAGACGTGTGGGGAGAGGGAAAGGGGGGAGGGAGGGACGATGGATGGCGACGACGAGAGCGAGAATGGGGGAGAACGGGGCGGGCAGGGGAGTGAGGAAGAGAGGAGGGGAGGGCAGAAGGAAGTCTTCGTCCCCCTTTCCTCCTCCCCCTCCTCCCCCTCGTCCTCCGCCTCCTCCTCCTCCTCCCTCCTCCTCCTCCTCCTCCTCCTCCTCCTCCTCCTCCTCCTCATCTCCCTTTTCTTCCTCCTTCTCCTCCTCCTTCTCCTCCTAATCTTCCTGTTCTCTCGTCCTCCACCTCCTCCCTCTCTCCCTTCCTCCTCCACCTCACTCCCCCTGACGACGGCGGCGGCGATGAGAGCACAGGGCTTGCCCGGCTGCTCGCTCGCCCGGCGGCCGCCGAGCCCCAATCCCCCCAGGCCACACGCAAGAGGTGGCCCCAGGCAAAAAGCGGACCCTTCCGGGGTCGCGACACAGAGGAGGAGGAGGAGGAGGAGGGGAGGAGGAGGAGGAGGAGGAGGAGGGAGGAGGAGGAGGAGGAGGAGGAGGAGGAGGAGGAGGAGGAGGAAGGGAGAGGAGGAGAGGAGGAGGGAGGGGGAGGAGGAGGAGTAGGAGGAGTAGGGAGAGGAGAGGAGGAGGAGGAGGAGGAGGAGGAGGAGGAGAGGAGAGGAAGGAGGAGAGGGAGGAGGAGGAGGTGGAGGAGGAGGAGGAGGAGGAGGAGGAGGAGGAGGAGGAGGAGAGGAGGAGGAGGAGGAGGAGGAGGAGGAGGAGGAGGAGGAGAGGAGGAGGAGGAGGAGGGTGGAGGAGGAGGAGGAGGCGGCTGCCTCGCTGAGGGCCTTCACGCCTCTTGGTCGTGGTGGCCTGGCGGAATCAAGGCCCTTCCCCTACCCACTCGCGTCGCGACAAGAGGACGGCGGGCAACTTTGGACAACCTTCGGCCTCTGGGGGCCCTCGCTGGGCCCTGGGGGAAGGGTCCGGATGTGGATGAAGGAGGAGGAGGAGGAGGAGGAGGAGGAGGAGGAGAAGGAGGAGGAGGAGGAGGACGAGGACGAGGAGGAGGAGGAGGAGGAGGAGGAGGAGGAGGAGGAGGAGGAGGAGGAGGAGGAGGAGGAGGAGGAGGAGTGACCTCAACAAACGACGCGGCATGAGAAGCTGGTCCCGGGGAACGGGTCCGGACCTCCGGGGGCAGCAGTCACGGCGTCGATGGCCTGGGCCAGTGCGCGGCCTGCCGATCGCGCTCCGCACGAGGCGGCAGCGACGGCCTGCGCGCCTGCAGAGGCCTCCAAGATGGGGCCGAAGGCACCGCGCCGCATCGCCGACGTCGGCGATGCATCGGCGACGTCGGCGTGGGAAAGCACGGGCCCCACGTCGAGCCGCATCGCCGATGCATCGGCGATGCGGCGCGGTCCTCCGACCCCCTCTGCTCGGACCCCCGCCAGGAAGCCCGGAGCCTGGGTTCGGCTCCCCCGTCCCCCGCCCAGCCCGGCGCCGCCCGAAAGCGGAGGGCGTCCGCCGACGATGGCGAGCAGTCCAGGGGCATCCCGGGAGGGCTGCCATCCCCCTCCCGACGGGCGACGACGACGACGACGAAAACGACGACGACGACGACGACGACGAGATGACGACGACGACGGCGACGACGACGGCGACGACAATGCTCCATGTCTTCGGCGAGGCTCCCCAGCGAATGCGTGAAATGCCCGCCCCTGGGCTATTCGCCCCTATCCTCGCCTCCGACGAAAGCCAGGCACCAAACCCCAGACATCCGGCCCCTCGATTTTTCAATGTGGGGTCTCTGGCGACCACGTCCCAGGGGCAATCTACTTCGCCTCGGATCATGTTCTGACGGTCCACGAGTCGGACAACGGCCTCCCGAGGCAGCAAAAACTGCGAACGACCTCCGTCCTGATGCTTATCTTCGATCGCCACTTTCCCCAAAAAAGATCGGCCTGGGGCTGGCGGCGAAGAAGGGGGGGGCGCGAGGCACCTCTCCGTGCGCCCGCCCTCCCATCACCGACGGCCGCGTAGGGCCAGGCTTGGCCAGCATAGCTCCATCAGCAAAGCCTCATCCTCGCCCCTCCTCCACTCCCCCCCCCCCTCCACTCCTCTTCCTCCTCTTCCTCCTCCTTCTCCTCCTCCTCCTCCTCCTCCTCCTTTCCTCCTCCTCCTTCTTCTCCTCCTCCTCCTCCTCCTCCTCCTCCTCCTCCTCTGTTCCTCCTTCTCTGTTCCTCCTCCTCCTCCTCCGCCTCCTCTCCCCCTCCTCCTTCTTCCTCCTCCTTCTCTCCCCTTCTCATCCACGGTTGCACAATCTGAATACTACTTTCCTCTCTCCCCCGAAAACGCCGGTGACGTGTCCAGGCGTCCTCCGCGTATTATATTCTTTTTAAAATTGTGTTTTACACAAAGGATGCCGCTGAATTGAGAATAAATGCTTCTACTTTCAATCCGAACGTTTTCAAAATGGCGCTCCCGCTGCAGCGTCAATTCTTGAACCCGCTGCACCGCTGACACCTTTTCACTGTTTCGGTTCTTTCAAATCGTGCTCCTGCTGCAGCGTTGGCTTCGATTCTGCGCTTCCAGTCCTTCCAAATCGTGCTTCCACTGACTGCAGCGCTGGTCTGATTTCCGCGGTTTCGGTCCTTCGAAATCGTGCTCCCGCTGCAACGCTGATCTCATTTTGCGCTACCCGCTTTCCAAACCGTCCATTTGTATTTCCCGTCCTGTGTCGCTTCTGAATTTCCTCTGACCTTGTTGTCGACATGGGTCGCGATTTCGACGCGACGTCGTCGGCTGTGGCCGTGCTCGTCTATGCCATGCTATGCCGTGCTTTACCATGCATCGCGTACTCTCTCAGGACCATTGCCCTGTTCGACATCCGACTGTGCGAATAGACAGGGGATCTACGCAATGGTAGGGAATGGGGGGAAGGGGTGGGACGTCAGATATGCCGCTTGTGCGCCTAGCTCCTCCTCCCCCCCCTTCCTTCCCCCCCCTCCCACTCCTTCGACGCTGACGACGCCGCCGACGACGACGACGCCGACGACGTCGATCTCCTCCAGGCGGGGCTACCCCCAAGCTGCCTCGCGCAGCAGCAGCGGGGGCCGCGGCGGCCGCCGCGGGGTGGACGCTCGCTGTCCTGGGGCGGCGCAGTCGACTGCGCCGTCCTAACCCCCCGACGATTTTAAACAAAACCCGGACGAGGATACAATCGGATGAGGATAGATCGAGAATCTCTGAGGTCCCGCGGCTCTGGAAAAGATGTCTCGGGCGCCGCGGCCTTCTCAGAACGTTCTGGCACGCTCTGAGAACTTTCCGGAGCGTTCTGGAATACGTGACGGCGTTCGGGAACGCTCTGGAACGGAGTTATTCTCGTCCCAGCCCCGTCCGACGATCTATGTTTTTCAATCCCGGCGTTCGTAGTCGATTTCGGACTCCAGGGCTTGTCCGGATCTGGGGCCATCGAAAACGGGCCTGGGCGAAATACCACCCTAGGGGGAAGGAGGGGACCTCCGGGGTGGCGCAATGAGGAACACACACACACCGTCGGATGCCTGGAGCTGGCGTCGTCGCCGTCTGCCGCCAGCAGCGGCCAACTCTGCCGCTTTCATCGGGTGGAGCAGGGGGGCGAAGGGGAGCGAAGGGGGAGCATCGGTGACGGGTCCGTGACTGACCGCGTCGACCGCCAGGGTCAGCGTCAGGAGGGGGAGCAAGGAGGAGAACAGGGAACGAGGAGGACGGGGATCGAGGAGGAGGAGGAGGAGGACAAAAAAGGAGGATGATGATGATGATGACGATGATGATGATGATGAGGAGGAGGAGGAGGAGGAGGAGGAGGAGGAGCTCCATCCCTCTGGTAAACGAATCTTCCTCGTCGCACGCACTACTAGACGTGTCGGTCGGGCGGGCTGGGCGATTCACCTGGAACTCCCTCGCCGCCTCTGCTCCTGAAGCTCGAAACTTCCAGTAACTACCAGGATATAGGGCGAATCGTTGTCAACGTGTTTTTGTTGCTGCTGCTGTTTTTGTTGTTGTGCTGTTGCTCGTTTTTCTTCTTCAGCAGCGCCACATTTTTTTGCGGTAATGTGAAGGATGCAGAGCGGTGGGTGTCAAAATTGTATCTTTCGCCGTAGCGCCGAACACATCTGCCGAGACAATTCCCAACATTTTACCAGCCTGGAACATATCCCTATTCCTATGCTGGGCACCTCCTCGTCACGATGCCAATCTTAAGGATTCCCTTATTTTTTGAGGGCGAATCCCTCAGATTGTCATCGCCCTATGGCGTGTCAATCTTAGGGATAGCGGTACGTTCGAGGCTGGTAAACATTTGCAAGGATGGAGTGCGGGCCGTTTTTTTGTGCGTGGCCCTCGCTCAAGCGCCGTGTGCACTCGTCCTACATGCTTCCAGCATGTGCTAAGATTGCCAGCCTCGAACTTATCCCTATCCCTAAGATTGACACGCCAAAAGGCGATGACAAGCTTAGGAATTCGCCCTCAAAAAATAAGGGAATCCCTAGGATTGGCATCGTGATGAGGAGATGCCCAGCATAGGGATAGGGATATGTTCCAGGCTGGTAATAAGATGAATAGCGGGCGGCTTTCAAAGTGTGGCTCTCTCGCCTCAGCGCCGCGCGCACCCGCCGGCAAACACCAACCGGCTGCGAGGAGAAATGGCGGCTCCTTGTCACTACGGGGCTCTCGCGCGACACCGGCTTGGTGCGGTTGCCGTTGGCGGCGGGGGGGGGGGGCTGCGGGCTTTTCACCAGAGCACAACTGCACCAAATCGCATCGCATATTGTTCTCGATCTTAGTGGTGGTAGTCAGATGCTGTGCTCGGAGGTGCGCAGTCATGTCCACGCGCATGGAAGCACGCAGAAGTTCTCAGCAACATTGCGTCTGCCGACGGCGTGATGCCCGTGCCGTGCCCGTGCTCCATGCCGAGCCCCGAGTCCAGGGCGCGAGCCGCGCGCCGTGCCGTGCCGTGCCCGCGTGCCGTGCCCTTGCCTCGATGCTGGGTGGCGGAGGAGGTGCCGTGCCATGCCGCGGCCGCGTGCCGCCCCGTGCCCAAGTTCTACAAGCCTCGTCAAAAATAAACAGAAACGCAGTTGGACATCACGACGATCGATCTTCTCGGGCACTTGTTAGAAACTGCGTTCTTCAATGCTGCGGAGGGGTCGTCGGATTTTGAAGCCCTTGCGTCCACGTCAGATATCTAGCGTCAGCATTGGAGTAGCGCTGACTATACAATCACCGAAAACATAATCCCTCAATTTATTTTTGACAAGGGTTGCAGGACTCGGCAACGGAGCCCTGCCGTGCCGTGCCTGGGTTCCAGCTGTGGCAAGGGCTCCCAACTTCCGCGCTTCGCGCGGCGCGGAGCGCGAAGTGCGAACGACTTCGCGCTCTCGCGCCGCCTCCCAGGGGAGAAGAGGATGAGGAGGAATCGGAGTCGAGCCGCGAAGCGCGAAGCGCGAACAACTTCGAGTCCTCGAGGGTGCCCTTGCGTATGCCGTGCCGCGCCCGCGTGTCGCGCCGTGTCTGAGATCTGGATCGCGAGAGTGTGCCGCGGCGTGCCGCGCCCGCGTGCTGTGGCGTGAGGTGCCCGAGTTCTAGACTGTGAGGATGTGCCGCGCCATGCCGTGCTCAAGGTCTCGGATGTGAAGCACGTGGCGTGCCGCGCCCACGGTCTAGAATGCGAGAGCCTCCGCCGACTTGCGTGCTTTAAAGCGCGACGGCAGACTTGCGAAACCTTCGCCTCGCTGGCCCCGTCGCGCGGGTCTAACTGCTTCTTCGTTCGATTGGTTGCGTTCAGCCTGGCCCCGTCTGGCAACCTCGCCGCCTGCGCCGGCTCGGCGGGGCGCTCATGCAGCCGACAGTTCTTCGGGCGGGCAGAACTCGCCAAGAGTTGCCGATGCTGCCCGATGAGGTTGCTGCTGCCGCTGCTACTGCTGCTACTGGATGGTGCCCAGAACCTCCCACACTTTTTGCGCGCGCGTGCGCTTTCCGGATCTCGGGATTGAGGCGCGCGCGGCAAATCGCAATCTCCTTTGCCGCCTCTTCAGCCACTGCTGCTTGAGCCCTGGCCTCAGCCTCCGCCTCCTTCGCGGCCTTCTTCCGCCGCTGTGGTCTCCATGATGCCCCTTCGTCAGCAAACAGCCGCTCCCATGAAACGCCGCTGCCATCGATCGCTCCCGTGGCCCCTAATTTGCTCGCGTCCGTCGGAGAGCGACTCCTGCTCGATGAACTCGACGACCCGGGGCCCGCAAGCAGATGTCCCGAACGACGCGCTGGGAAAAAACGAGGGCTGATTCCGCCAAAAGTATTGGAAGCCAACTGATTGCGGACGGCTGGTCGTCATCGCCACCAAGGATGCATTGATTGCACCGCGTAGTTTGCACCAACCTTCGCTATCACACCAAATCGTTGCATAGCGTGGCCATGGGCGTCAGCGTTAGGATGAACACTAGCATGTCGTGGCGAAGCATCGCAATGGCGTTCGCGTTGGACCTGTGGAGCTTGTGGATCTGCAAGACCTGCAAGGCCTGAGGACATGTGGAACCTGTGACAGTTCTGGTACGTGTGGGGCCTGTGGAGCCCATGGAACTTCTGAGACGGCGGCACCAGTTTTTGTACATTCAAACCACGTTGAAACGTGTCTGGGCGGCGGCGGGGGCGCCCCTTTCGCGGCGCGGTCGCTCCTTTCGCGGCGGGGCCACCTCCCTCCCTTTCCCTGTCCACCGACGTCGCCGAAGAAGTATTGGCGAATTTTGCCACCTGGTGGTCTGCCGCCTGATTCAACTCAAGAAGAGGTCGCCACCATTATGGAAGACAACCGTGACGAGAATGAGAAATCGCATGGCTGGGGCCATGCTTGAACCGAGAAGTCTACGGACCGTTGGCTTCAACTATTGCATTAACGTGTTTCTTCGTACGTCACGATGGCGACTGCGACTGCACTTGCCGCTATTTTCAGTACCGCTGTTCGTACACCTACTACTCAAGTTGCTGCTGGGGTCGGCGGCAGAAGTGGCTGCCCTTATATAGTTATACATATATTTATACATCTTTATATATATATATATGTACACACCGGTCTGTGTGTATATATATATACATATGTTTATTTGTATACATATATATATATATATATATATATATATATATATATATATACGTACTGATACCTTTGGCGGGCAACGCCTTCCCGGGCGGCGAAGCTGGTCGCCGCTCCTGGCCTCTTTCGGGCTGCGGAGAGAGGATCGTATCGTTAACTCGGACCTGTCCCTCCACAAGGGTAATATTCGAGAATAGTTAAAAAGTAGCCCGGGGCCTTTTTGGTTGTTGGTAAAAAAACAAAAACAAAACACATTTTTGAGGTATTTTTCTCTCGCCCAGAGTCGCCTGTAGGGGCAAACGGTGGCTGCCCATATATATATATATATATATATATGTACTAGAACCACGCGCGCGCTTCGCGCGCGCTTAGGTTCTAGCTAGGATCGTCACCGTCGTCATCATGAACATTACCATCGCCATCATTCCCCCCGCCAGGGCTAATGTACATCGTTTCTGGATGCTTCTGGCCGGGATACGAAAGGAGTTTCTGTAGTTAGAGTCTCTGGGGGAAGTCGCGGGGCCCCTCAGGATACGTACGGATGCCTCTGATAATCCCCCAGCGTGCCCCACGAGATGGCCAGAGGGTGCCCGAACAGAACCCGAGGACGTCGACGACGTCGGCGATGAAGACGGCGGCGATCGCGGCGACGAAGGTAGCGGCGGTTGCCATGGGTTAGTACCCAATCAGAGCTTGCCTCTGTAAGGGTCCTGGCGGATTAAAAGGTCCGATGAGGTTCGGCAAGATTCCGGCCCCATGCGGCCGGGCCGGGTGCCCGGGTGCCTGGGTGCCCGGGTGCCCGGTGCCTGGGTGCCTGGGTGCCCGGTGCCCGGGTGCCGGGGTGCCTGGGGATGCCCTATCGCCCTATAGCCCTGTAGACCTATTGCCCTATAGCCGTATAGCCCTATAGGACTATAGCCCAATAGCCCTATATCCCTATATCCATCTAGCCCTTTAGCTCTATAGCCCTCTGATCCTATAGCCCTGTAGCCCTATAGCCCCATAGCTCTACAGCCCAACAA